ATCACCCCGGACCAGCCCTGGACAGGGACGCGCCCGGCCTGCAAATGCGAGGAGCAGGCCAGATGCGCGCGCGCAAGTCCATTGGGGCCCGGCACACCCTCCACCCCAAAATCAGCCACGTCCCAAAAACCACGCAGTCGCACACACACAGCACACACACACACGCACGCAGCGTGCGCGCGCACACACGTGATAATGTGCCGCGGCCCCACGGGCGACGGAGAGTAGACAGCAATCGGTCTCTGCAGCACTTTGACCGCCATGGCCAGCTCGGGCTCGCCTGGGTGGCCCAAGGTGTTTGAGGGGGGGCCGTGGCAGAGAGACCCGTGTGCACGGCGTGCTCTCGAGAGCGACGGCGGCCGCTGCCGAGGCGCTGGCAGCCGCTGGCGAGCTGATGAGTTTGCGACCTGCGATGCCTGGCAGCGAGCCGCGCCCCCGGCCGCTAGCTTACACGCAGGCGTGCGCACAGGGCGTGGCAGGTGTGGGCGCCGCGGCTGGTCGGTGCGCGGGCGCGAGCGGCCCGCGGGCTGGCTCACCGCCCCAAGTGCCGGGCCGCGCCATGCGGGCGAGGTAAGAATCGAAGCTCTCAAGGCCCTCCACAATCCCAGGGATGAACGGCTCAATGTCACTGTAGGTTAGTTCGGTTCGGTGCATGGAAACAGCACAGGCGATGGTTGGGAGTGTCTGCTGCGAACCGTGGGCGCAGCGACAGCTGAAACAATGTCCGCTTTAAAGGCCGTCAGGTTCCATGCGGAGGCTGGCGGGTGCCTACACACGTGAGCGTAGACCCCCGCACCTCCTGCTGCTACGCAGCCCCTCGACGACGTCGGCGCGCAGCTTCTGGGCGGCTTCCCACTCCTGGGCCTCGCTGGCCAGCAGCTGCCCCGTCCGCAGAAGCGCGTCTCCTTGGGCAACAGACCTGAACATGCATGCACCGTCGCCGCGAACCTGCAGCCGCTCGAACCGCGGCCGCTCGCCGCGCAGGTGCCCCAACTGCTCTCGCAGCCTCTGCTGCAGGCGCGTGTTGCGGGCCGGGGCGTCGGCGTCGGCGCCGCGGCTGCTGCCGGCATCGCTCAACTCACTCGCAGAGTCATTCATGCCGCTGTCGTCAAACGACACTCGCGCGCGCACGTCGGCAACGATGGGTTCGTGGTGCGCTTGCTGCTGCGGTGACGGCTGGGCGCCGAAAGGAAGTGCGGTCGTGAACGCGCCGCGGCGGCGAGGGCGCCCTGCTCGTGCTGCGTGTGTGTGTGCTGGTGTGCGAACCGCGGGTGGCCGCAGCGGGCGAGCTCCAGCTGTGTAAGCTAGGCCCGAGCGCGTTGTTGCTGACTTACTGCTTAGCATGCTGTGGTGGGCCTGAGAGGATTTGAAGTGCTTGAAACGGTGCGTGGATACAAAAGGTGACTTCCGTGATCTAGTCTTCGTTGAGTTGTTCTACAATTGAACTCGAAATTTGATAAGCACACGAAAAAGGCGGTAGCGATCGCGGTTGCAAACGTCGCCTCCGTCTGGTCCATTAAATTCTTCATCGAGGCTTCCGGCTGAACGCTCATTGCAGCGTCAGCTGCTGCAAATAGGCCGTCGTATCTACAGTTATAAACGTGGCTGGACGTGCGGCGGAGCTGCATCGAGACCGTCCATAGAGCGCCGTCCGACGTCCGACTGCAACCATCCGTCCGGCTGCGCACGCTCGGCACAGCCGCGCAGCCACCGACTGATGAGGTCCCTCCTAATCAAGAACGCCACCAGCTTCTTACTGGGCAACCCGGGCACCTTTTCGGCCCGCTACGCCGCGCCCCAGCCCTCGTGGCTCGCGTCGAGGGGGGGCGGCGGCAGCGGCACCACCACCGCAGGCGCCCGGCTCGCGACCTGCTCGGCGGGAGCGATGGCTGCATCGGGGCAGGATGGATCCAGCACCAAGCCCGTCATCCGGGGCGTTGTATTCGACATGGACGGCACCCTGACGGTGTGGAATCCGGGCGTGAGCGAGCGGGGCAGTGGACTGGAATGATAAGAGGGGTCTCCAGGGCGCAGCCTCAATGCAATGCAACAGGACCAGGGCGGGCCCCACACGTGCCAACGACCGTGACTGATCGCAGCTGAACAACAGCATGGTTCTTGCACACCCCGGCACTCTCAAGGCACGCTTTGCTGGCGCTTTCTTCCCCAGCCCGTTACCCCCTCCTCGCCACCACCCAACCGCGCTCGCAAACACTACCGCCCGGCCCCGCCCCCGCAGGTTCCGGTCATTGATTTTGCGCTGATGCGGAAAAAAGCCGGCGTGACGCAGGTCAGCCCCCATATGTTCACCCTGATAGCTCGCGCCTGCCCGGTCGAGCCCCCCCCCCTTGCCCCTGCCCCGCCCCTGCCCAGGCCCCCTCGCCGCAGTCCCAGGGCGCTCGCCCGGACCCCCCGGCATTGTCCATGCTTCCACCGGAATGCCCTCACCTGTGGTCACCTGCCTTGCGCCTCACCCTCCCACGATCACCTCCCCGGCCCTCCCAAATGTGCCTTGTCGACACTCCTACCCACTACACTCGAGCGTCGAGCGTCACTCATCACCCGCGCCCCCTCCCCCAAAACACAAAAAGGGTGACATCCTGGACGTCATCAATTCGTGGCCCGAGGCGGAGCGCACGCGCGCGTTTGCGGCCATCCAGGAAATCGAGGACCAGGCGCTGCGGGACATGAAGGTGCGGCGCCTTCGGCAGACACGCTCTGGCCCCTGCTCGGCGCAGCACAGCGCAGCGCAAGGACAGCTGAGCGGGTTGCGGTCTTTGCACTATGAGATGCTTCCATATTTACTGCCCTCAAAGGAGGGCGCGGTGGCTGGGATGTGGGTGGGCTGGGCGCTAAGCGCATGGCCGTAATCCTTGAGCGCTTGCCGGTCGGGCCGAGCTGGGTGGCCAGCGGCCGCTTCAACGATTTTCGGCATCCCTCCAACACCCGGGAGCGTTCGCCTTTCCCTCGCAGCTCATGCCTGGACTGCAGGAGCTGTGCGAGCTGCTGGACTCTGCCGGACTGCCCCGTGGCCTCATCACGCGCAACGTGAGGGCGCAACCCCCGGGCAGGCGCCGTGTCCGCTGCTCCCTGGGGCAGGGGCTGCGCGGGCAGCGGCCAGCCGGGCTCGGGGAGCCGCTCCCGCCTCGTTTTGGCCTAGGAAGGAGGGGCGGGACGGGACGGTGGTTAGCATCCAAAACGCTGGCTTGCGTTGGTGGCTCGCTTTTTGCGAGGGGCGTACGACCGCCCCTAGCAGGCGGCTTGATAATCAACTGCCTCACGTGTTAGCCCTTTGGCCACAACCCCCCCACCCCCCGACTATCCTTGTATGCAGGTGAAGAGCAGCATCGAGTATTTCCACGATAACCACTTCAACACCCTGGCCCGCTTCGAGCCCGCAATATCCCGGGAGTGCGCGTTCCCATACAAGCCCTCCCCAGCGGCGCTGCTGCACATCTGCAGCCAGTGGGGGGTGGCCCCCGGGGAGTGCGTGATGGTGGGCGACTCCGCAAAGGTGAGGGTTTCACAGACGGCGGGGGCCCGTCCTTGTTGACCAGCCACCGCAAGGTGTCCAAGCGGGACGAGCTGGTTTGTTTGAGCTGCGTCGAGGTTCAAACATTGTGCGTTCAGCGGAAGCCTCGCTGCGCTTGCTGGCTGGTTGCTGGCGGCACATATTGTGCAATGCAGATGGGATGAGGCCTCCGATACCAGGCCGCAACGCGCCACAAGTTTATGGAGTCTCGTCACACCTTTCTTGACCACAAACAAACCTCCATCTGCCCAATCCAAACAAAACTACAACATTTATCGCTAGGACGATGTCGTCTCCGGCAACCGCGCGGGCGCGCTGACGGTTCTCCTGGACACTGACGGCCGCTACGCCCCCGGCGGAGGCCAGGAGCCCTCTGGGGAGGCCGTCCCGACGCACACTGTCGCCTCGATGGCCGAGCTCGCGGCGCTGCTGCGCGAACGGTACACGCTGCTGCCGCCCACGGGCGACGTGGCTGCGCGGCAGGCCGCGGTGGGGGCGGGCACAGGGGCGTGAAACAGCGTCCTGATGCCAGGTGGCGGCGGCAGACTGCGTGGTCGTGTCGAGCAGTGCTGCGGCGCAGCAATGCGTTGCACCTTATGTTGTGCAGATTGTAGTTTTGTTACACCGCAGCGAGTTTGAGAACAGCGGGAGGGGGGGGGGCGCTTCACCGGCGCACTGAAAATACAGCCGCAACACCCCGCTCATGCAGCAGCTTCAAAACTTGCATGAGGGTTACACAGCCTTTCATGTCAGTTGGGTATTTCCAGCTGGTCCACAAGCCAAAAATATTATACAATTGAAATCAGCGCATGGACAGGTATTGGGGCCACGAAAGCTGCCAATATAAGCAAGTGAATGTAGTCGGTCATATTACGTCATGATAGAAGGGGCTGACGACACATGTCACGGAACAGGGTGATAATAATTGATTGCATCGGTACAGCCGTCGCATTTTGCATGTTGACGCTCCCTCCATTTCACACAAGCGGTCAAACATGCAGCCTGTGCTGCAGCCTGCGGCAGGCACGCGCGACACATCGGGCGTCGACGGCTTTGCCTGAAAACAACTGCGAACAAAATAGTCAGTGGCGGCGCCCGGCTCGCTGCAGCCCGCATGCCGCTGTCCAGGCGAGCGCACACGGGTCCGTGGCGACCAGCGTGGTCCCGATTTGGCCCACAGTGGTGGCGGCGCTGGTCGCGGCAAACTGCGTGTTGGGGTCGTCGTCGTCAACGGCGCGGGCGATCTGCTGCTGGGTGATGACCCTGGCGACTTGCGCCGCCGCGATTTGCTGGCTGTTGCTGTTGATGTTGCTGCTCCAGCTTGCCAGCTGCAACAGCTTGCGGTTGTGAGGCGGCCGCATCGCTGGGGCGGCTGCTGCGGTTGGGGTGCAGGAGGGGTGACGTGAGGGCGGGCGGTAGAGCTGCAGATTGGGAACAACCGGGGTCAACGGCCACTCGTTGACTTCATGCGCATCAAAGCCAGCCCATATGCAGCGGCTGTTGACATCACGTGATGATCAACTTTGGCAAACGGCTGAGTACTATAGCAATGCATGCTACATGATGCCACACAGAACCCACACAGAACCCATACTGGCATGGAAGTCCAGAGAACTCACCCATAGCCTGCTGGATGAAAAGACACATCGACACCATCATCAACACGGAGAAGGTCATGCGAGCCATCTTGGATACTATTCTTGGGTTAGCCTGAGCCAATGCGGCAGGTCGTCGAGTTCCCAACTTGCGTCCCGGAGCAACAAGAACCTGCTGTTGACTCTTGTGCCGTGTGGTGCAAGTCTACACCGTTGTTGTAGAATGATTTGTGATATCCTTCGTGCTCGAGTTTGACCTATCATGTGTTGCGGCAATGGTATGTCCCCAAGGATGCCTCACTCTTTCTTTCGACTGCTCGACAGCAGCAGTGAGAGAGCATTGGTGTTGTGTGAGCAAGCTGAGAACCCCCCTCCCCAAAGTAACCATGTTTCCCCTCCGCTGTGTGGTGCAGCCACAGAATGCCTGCTTGGCCTGCCCAGCTGGACACGCTGTCTGAATTTCAAAGACAGGCGTGTTGCAAATTCAGCCACGTGTGCTGCTCGAGATGATGCATCATGACATGCGTGTTGAAAGCAAGGTCATAAGTTGATGCAAACACGCGAGTTACAAAAGTGATATGCGGGATGGCTAGAGTGCATGCATGACGTTGGAATCACAATCTGGCATTCTACCAACTGAACAAGGTCAAACAAATCACAGTTATCAAAGCCTTGTGACCTGCACGTTTTGCAGGCCAGCGGCAGGGCAAACTGCTCAGCAAGTTGCAGGGCCGTTGCAACCAATTGCAGAGGGCTTAGCAGCAACGAAAAGAGCAAGATGTTGCCGGTCCCTTGTGAGCTCAGTGGAACATCAGTGGACCATTGCGAGGCGACACGACCGACACGACAACAATGATGGGGTGGAGCGTTAAGGCCTGCCTCTCCCTGCCCAGCAGATCAACCGCCACAGTCCAAACCTGCCATTCGCCAACAAGTGACCTCGCTTGCCATGATAAAAGCCGAGCCCAATTCCCGTCGGCAAGAGCCTGCGGGGTGCTCGGCACCGGCAGTGAGGGGCGCACCCAAACCTGCGACGGACAGGCGCCAGCCCCGCGCGCCTAGCGGCGATGGCCGACAACAGGCCGGCCCCAGCCCCAGCCCCGGCCGTAAGCGCCGCTTGTCCAGCAGGCATATGTGTAGGCCAGTGAGCAGGGGTCGTAGGCGGTCAACGTCGTGCCAATCTGGCCCACGGTTGTGGCGGCATTTGTCGCGGCGAATTGGGTCTCCGGGAAGGGGTTGTTGACAGCAGCACGGATCTGCTGCTGCGTGGCCACCTTGGAGACCTGTGCGGCCGCGATCTGGGTCTGAGCGCGGCCATACGGGCCAAACTGGAGCAGCTTGCGGGTGCGGGGCTGCTGGGTCGCAGCAGCTGCGCAGGTGGTGTTGTGAGGCAGGGGTTGGGCGGGCGGGGCGCCAGTGGGTCATAGACGGGCCAGCAGCAACGCTACGGTCTTGCTAATGAAAATGCCTTGCTGAATTGCCAGATCCTGCGGTGACAGGATGAAATTGGAGCTGGCCTGTAATCGTCTTCCGCCACAGCATGCTGACGCAAGCGCCGGCGCCTGCCAACCGTGAGCACCAGGCAGTGCTGAAAGCGAGCACGCTGCGGTCATCCCGCGTCCGTCAAAGCCTGTCATTGCTTTTCAAGTGACACGATACCTAGCAGGGCATATCCATGCGCCCGCATGGCGGTGTCACTGCACATTCGAAGGCGCACGCACTAGCCCCGACGTCGCGTCCCCCTTGACACCCACCGGTTGGACCTATTATAACAATACACGCCACTACGACGCACGTGATTGCCCTCATACCGCCGTCCCACCGGTGCTGAGGTGTGTCGGGAGGCAATAGACCGCTGTATGGACGGCTGTGCGTGTGAGCACTTATGATTATATTTAATTTCAAGAAAATTTTTGTTGATGGACCGCAGCGCACCGCCATGACAACGGTAGCAGCTGGTTGACTTACGGGGGAGTTCTGTCGGCACTCAGCCAAATCAAGACCTGCGCGACTTTTAAGGTTAAGAGCACTCCTGCAAATTTCTTTCGACTCTCTAAGCACCCCTCGCACTTAGCGCTTGAGATCGATCTTGAGTAGCCTCACATTGTTGCCCGCGTCGTCCTTCCTGACTGCAGCGCGCAGCCCTATGCAGACCTGCGGATTACAGCGCGCTGTTCGCGCCCAATGTGCCAACAACAGTGCAGCATGCAGGCCAGCTCCGCGCCCCTGTTTCCGATCCGCTGCTGCTGCGCCCCTGCAGCAGGCCCCAGTGCGGCGGACGCTTGCCCAGCCGCCACGTTCTGGGGCCCCGACTGGGCCAGGGTCTGAATTTGACGTGGACAATGCGCCACCGCCTGAGAAGCTGGATGTGGAGCTGCGGGAGAAGCGCGACGACGAGGTGGGTGTTTCCCATGTGGTGTTGTGCAGCAATCACATGCTGCGCCGGCCTTGTTCCGGTTGTTGAGCGCATGTGGCACTTGGCCGCATGCTGCTTCAAACATGACTTTGCTGCTGTGCTTACGCCTCATGGTGTGGCTGTGCGCAGGGGGGGGGGGCGTGGCACTGCCCCTCCCCCGCAGTAGCCCATGATTATTGCGGCTGCACACCAAAGCATTGACAAGCTCCCCATACCCCACCAAGCACCCCTACCGACCCGCCGGCGGCAGACAGTGCCCCCGCGGCAGACAGCGCCTTCGGCCTTTCAAAGGCGCCATCAGCCACCCCACCCCCATCATGTCGACCTCTGCCCCTCTCCGCACTCGCCGGCGCCGCCCCGCAGGCGCTGCCTGACAGCCTGGCTGACGCCGTCGCCGACGCCGCCGCGGCGACCGCGAATGCAATCAACCGTGGCAACGCGCGCTGCCAGGTCAGCGCCGCTCGGGCTCGCGCTCTCTTGCCTGCGCAACTCATGTTGCAACCCCCTCCCTTGCCGCGGAAGCGGCTGCCGCTCTTCCGCCTCGGCATCGCACCATTGATCAGCAGCTGACCAGGCGCCACCCAGCAGAGGCGCTGTCTGCGGCAGCCGCCGGCTCGCTCCGCAGCAGAACAGGCGCGTCGCGCTGCTCTGGACATTGTTTCACATGACTGGTGCAAAACAACCCATCAACCCCTTGTGCACAGGTGGAAATCTTGCTGCCAGAGTTCTGGGACCCCATCTCGGGCCCCATCTTCCCCAACAAGGGCGACCAGGAGCGATTCTGGCGCATGACTCGCCGCTTTGTTGAGGCGCTGCAGCAGGCCACCGGCGCAGCCAGCGTCAAGGCGGTGCGCACGGCGGTCTTTTGTGTGTCGGGTGTGTGTGGAGTGTGTGTGGTTGTGTGGGTGTGCGCGTGCGTGCGTGCGTGCACGCAAAATGCGTAAGTATTGTGTGCACTTGTTATGCTGCCCTTGGCCTCATTGCACTTGCAGCTTCAGGGAAAGCACCTGGCTTCTGGCTTGCAGGGCAGGGCGTCTCTGCTGCGTTGGGACGAGTGCCTGCGCTGCTGACCTTATCATCTCATTCTCGGCCCCTTGTGCGCCCCCCATAACCCACACCACACACACACACACACACACACACACACACACACACACACACACATACACACAGGTCTACCCTGATGCCGGCGTGGCGGCTATGCTCAGCTATCAGTGGCAGGTGCGGACCGCGCCGGGGCCCCCACGCACAAGGCAGAGTTGCGA